AGAAGACATTGGCCATTTTCATTCATTTTCCCAATGCCATGACAACCCAGATAGGTTGGCCAAAAGTTGTGATCTGTGCCTACTCCAGTATTAAAATCCCCTAGGAGAAGCCTCTCGTTTCATGGTAGGTGCTCAGTGACGTGATATACATCATAGAAGTTACCTTTATCATCTGAACTTGCCTATAAAGTTGGTGCACAGGCACTAATATTAACAAAACCATCAGTTGACTAGTCAGAGTGAGATGATGTGATCTGATGTTCCAGTGGGGGTCGCAATGTTTTTGACCAACCTGTTGCAAACTGCAAATCCGACACCAAGTAGGCAAGTATCTTCTGCACTCCTGCCTTCGCATAAAAAGGCCTCATGAATGGAGTCTGAGTTGGTCAATCTTGTCTTCTGCAAGGCTGCAACTTTGATGTTAAGTTTTTGCAGCTCTTGATCAACTTGTGCAGTCTTCCAGACACTATCCATCATCTATAAATTGTCATTCATGCCAGGACACATGGTCCTGACCTTCCAGCTTCCCAGCCAGAAGATTTTAAGGTTTCTTTTCTTGTTGGTTGGTGCCTGATTTGACATCTCTTTTTCAACTTTTGCTCTAGCCCCATGTAGCAAATGAGGCAGGCAGACCATGATGGGTCAGCACCTTACTGGCTGGGGGCTGCCCAGTGTAAGGCCAGCAGTAGCTGACCAGTGGAACACAACTGGTTCTTCCCACTGATTAAGGTGATCTGTGGTGCTCTACTTTATGCCATTTCAGTTGAGCTTATAACCCATGACTGCCCCCTTCTGTGTTGTGCCCATGCATGTAGCAAAGATGGAGTATCCTCTCCATTCAGTTTTGGCTGCAGTGGTCTGGGCAGTTGATATGGAGGCACTTGAGTTGCCTAGATATCCATGTCCCCCGTTTGGCCTAGCTGGTTGATCCCAAAGGAATGGCAGAAGCCAGTATGTTTAGAGCCAGCTTGGCTTCAGGAGATGCCAGTATGAAAAAAATCTTTAATCTGTACATCTTTCAGGGCTCTCCTCCTAGACAGGTTGCCAATCAAGGCTGGAGAGCACAGTCTACCCTGCCATGGCATCTGCCTTTTGGTGGCATTTCTTCCACCAGGGGTAAGGACTAGTACCACCTCCCCACCCCTGGCTGCTCCTCTGCCTGAAGCTGTTGGCATCATACAGATTGCTAGGATATCTTCTGCCACTCAGCTCTCGTTGACAGCTGCAAGTATTACTGTCTACTGTCATAAGGGTAGCAGACCTGGCCTGGACTGACCTGAGTATGTACAGAATATGCTTCTTTAAAAAGAAAAAAATCTCTTTAAGGAAGCATATTCTGTACATATTTATATAATCCAAGATATGAATACCACCAGGAAATTCTAACAATGTACTCCAAGGAGTAAAGAACTAGGAGTTTGGAGACCTGAATACACTCCTCATTTTACCAGTAACCTACTCTGAATCTTTAGACAATGCTTCATTAACAATATATAAAGTAACAAATGGGCAAAACTGTAAGAAGCATATTACAGTTAATGAAGTTTTAGATCTAATAGTATATGCCCAAGATTTGCTGTATCTCTGTATATCATACCCAGAAGCACCCCATAGATAGGCATACACTCAACCTTTCTACTCATCCCACATCAAAATATAAACTTCCTAACAACCCAATTCTTTTTTCTCCTGTGCTACTAATGCTATAGACAAGTCACTTAACCTCACTGGTTTTCTATTCTAGCAAAATTAGTACCCATATCCCAACAAGAGTGAAGAGTGCCAGCAAGAGTGAAGTTACCCATGTGCTAAACTGCTGGCACAGAAACCCCCCAAGTATATTTATATAATCAAGTTATGAAAATCAAGTTTATAATAGGCATATCGTTTATTCCTCACTCATAATCAAAGGATGAGGGAAGATGAAGTGTGATACTTAGCAGGCTTGCTTCTAATGCTCAGAATATGGCTGTAATGTTTATATGATTGATGACATGTCTACTAACAGTTGCAATTGTTGCAAATTATTGCAAGGCATCAAATTAAGAAGCACATGGATTTCTGTTTGAAAATGCGGACTAGAGTGTTACTCAGAGCTGTACACCATGCCAGCCAGGAATGCTTTAAAAGGTTACTTGAATGCACCTCCCTCCTTTCTCCTAATTTTATATCTGAGTTGCTGCTTCCTAATTTATATAGATCTGCTCTCCCATCATTCACAAAGGGCATATTTTAGGGAGGAGAGTCTCTAAATATGTATGTAAACGCTTCCACATGAATAAATGCTACAGATGTAAAAGTGAGCAAAAATTTAATACATGTCAGCTGTTCCACAGTAACTGTGTGTGCATCCTCTTAATCCATAGTAAATGAAAACTCTAAATTCCCATTCCTCTTAACCTTGAAGTAACTTGCTCATTGGCTCCATAGTACAAAATTCAAACTCTGGATGGCAACTTTCAAATTCAAGAGGACAAGACACTGTTTGTAAATGTAACAGAACTACCTCATTTTTCTCTAGAGAACTTAAAGTCCTGTTAAGTATACATATTTTGTATGGTGAACATTTGGAATAATTCCTTCTAATTGTAAAGATACACATATTAATACAATTCACCTCTCATACTATAGAAAAATTCCAACTTTCTATTACTCCTCTGAAAATTTGTGTCTGAACAGTAGAAAAAAAGGAAGTAATGGAGATAAAAGAAAGATGACATACAAAGCAGCAGAATAGAGCATTTTAAAAATTACCAGAGAGGTACCAAGATGTATATATTTTTAAAAACAAAACCAAACACAAACCCGTAAGTCTTGATGAAATAATATATTTTATATATACTCTTAATGAAAGTTGTTCATACCTCCAACATCCCAGAATGTGACAAGAACACTCATGTGTAATTAGGAATTTGATATTATTTATCCTTCTTTTGTGCTTCAAATATTTAAACAAACTAACATGAAGCTATAACATAACAAATTTGTTACTTGGTCTATTTTAATTATGAACTTCATATGCTTTTTCTCTGCTGACTATATTCTGTTTAACCAGAGGAAGCAATTTTAGCTTTTATAACACAAACAAACCATCAGTTCAATTAATGCTATCAACTTGGGTGATATATGATTTACTTCTCCTAAGCTAAATGTGTTACAAAAAGAATGACAGTTATGATATTATATATATTTTTTCATAATACAGTTTTTCAAGCCATGCTTGGAGGCAGACTCACTTTAACCTTCTTCAAGAGCAGTTTTGAATTAAATTACATCATTTAGTACAGGTTTGAAAATTAATTTAGCATACAAGTCATTTGCGCCTTAAACTCCATTACTTTAAGAGGGTCTAGGGAAAAGTTAAGATCAGCAGAGTAGAGAAATGAAATTCAAGTACATGTTTTGAGAAGTGGATGGGTCAGAGAAGTGGTAATGGAATTCTGAGCCTTTTGTTTCCAAGTCACTGATTTTGTTATGGCCTGCATCAGTAATAACTCAAGTTGTTACTACAACTTAAATGTTGGCCAATTTGTTATTAGTTTGTTGGTCCAAGTCCAGCCCCTAATGAGCAAAATCTGTATTAAAAATATACATATAGCTGGAATTCTTTCTGGAAGAGAGACTAAGGTTTAATAGGGAGAGAAAGCATTACCTTCTCTTTAAAAGAACTTTTTCAGGTGAGGTTTAATACATGCATAGTAATGCAATAAGATAGTTATAACTGCAACTAAAGATAGCACAGCATTTTAGTAAAATATTTGTTACTGTATCAAAAATGTGCCATAAAAATTCATCTAAATTTGTTGGGATGGTAATTTTGTCATTCAAACAGAAAACTGCCTGAATCATAGGCAAAGAATTAGAAAGACAACATACTGCCAAATGAGGTACCTAATGAAAATCTGAAAGAGGAAGAAAAATATTTGTTAATGAAATTTTTGAAAGTGTTATAAAAGTAAAAGGCAATTAAAATATCACTACAAAGAGAGACACTTAGAAACATGGGCCAAAAATAACAAATTCCAATTTTACGTAAAATAAAATCATAGGGGACATATGCTCATGTGCCCAGTAGTGGGAAAAATTAACTCTTTAGAAGGAGGCATTACATGGACATGTAGCACAACTGTCAAAGGGCAAATATATTCCAGTTAAAGCACATGGAAAGGCTGTGGGAAAGCAGACTTAAGTAACAGCTTTAGCTTCCCCAAATATAGCACAGAGAGATTACCAGGACTAATGGAGATGGTTTAGCAGAATAATGTTTTATGTGAAAAGGATTAAAGAGCTACATACTATAGTTTGCCTAGGAAACAAATGTAATGGATTGGAACTAGTTTTCAAACACCCAAACGGAATAAATACCAAGATGATAAAAAATGATGGACCTTGATACATAACACAAATAGGCTGAATAGCTAGGAATGTTCTTGCGGTTGTTCTAACTTGTGCTGGCTGGCTATGAAACTCAAATAGATCATCAACTAGCAAAGGATTGCAAGAGAGCAGAAAACAATTAGCAAGCCTCTGTGTTGTTCATCAGGAGCTGTAAGGAGGCATGGGAAGCTATCAGCCAGCTCTTCCAAATCTATGTCAGCTGGGGGAAATCATCACCTACTGAGATTCATAACTTTTCCATCCTTTTGATTGGGTGAAAGTTGGCCCAGGAATTGTGGATTATCTTTTCATTAAAAGATCAACACCACCTCAAATACCGTGAATTACTACAATTAGGTTACAGGCCACTTACTGGTTCTTCTGATTTAAGTGGTATTTCCCCTAAATTTTTCCCTTCCTGGTTCTGTATAAATAATAGTTATTAAAACAATTTCAAACAATCTGCACAATGAAAAAACTGTGCCTAGATCCAAATCTGCAAGGTTATAAGAACCACCGCCCCCTTTGTCTTTTGCAGAGAATTGTTAGCATATTGAAGGATGATGCTCATGAAGTTTAACTAGCACCTACCTATAAACTGTAGGAAGGAAATTCATATTTACCTGCTTTACATGCATAAAACACACACATTCCAGTCGTGTTGTCAGGAATGCTTGCCCACAAACAGCGCACACACATTTTTCAGAGAGCAGCTTGCCCACTTCTTGATTCTGTTTGACTGCTGTCTGTAGAACAGAATCCTTTTCATTCAGCTCTCTCAAAATAAATCTTGCCGTCATTTCCTGGATTGAGACATGCAGAAAAGAACTCTTGAAATATTTCGAACAATAGCAAGTATTAGTTCAAAATCAATACTATTTTGCCACCTAAATTGGAATAATGACTAATCCTGATACTGGAAACCATTTCATGCATGTAAGTAACAGTCAACAAGATACAAAAAAAAAGGCCAAGAAATCTGTCAGTTCTGGAGCCAAGTAAGAAACAGTTTTCCTAATCCATAAAATGTATTTAGATTTCAAAAGTTTCCCCATTCTACATACTGATGTAAGCAAAACCTTTCAAAGTTTTTTTCCACAAAAAGCAGGGAGAAAAATAATAATCCCTCCCTCCCCCCACATAGCCAAAAGCCTAATTGGAGGGATATGGGAATCAAGCAGAACAGGGACTAGAAGCTGGATTTCCCAAATCCTAGATCCACAGGCTACAGGCCAAGCAGGCTGGCATCTTTTTCTCTTACCCTGAGAAAACATAGAGAAAGATACTTGTATGTTTCTCATGAAGTCTCAGGTTTCTTGTGACAAGTAATTTTGTTAAAAAATTCCTGAGTAGTTTTCATTCCACTTACAAACTTGTTCTGGGTAGAAGCATTCACATGCAAATCTATTAAGAAAATCCAGGCCTACAGTTTTTGTTTTACATTTTCCTGCTTAAATTTAAAGATTTTATCCTTGAGACAAGTTGTTGTATGTACAGAGGATAAGTCTAATCAACATTTTCCAAACTGTCTTTCTGTCCTGCCTTTCTTTCTATCTGAGGAATCTCCATGAGAATTATTTCTGTGTGTGAGACTGATTCTTATGCACTGTATCTCTTTTGGCTAAAAGCAAAAAACAGCTCCTAATATTTTTGCTAATGCAAGACAATGGAGATAAATTGATCGCTCTCTTCTATATAACACAAACTTTTACTTATTTGGAGCCATAACAGGCTTCCTCCTCAGTCTTTTCTTTTTTAGACTAAATAAACCCAATTCCTTTAACCTTCCTCTGTGGATTATGATTGCTATTGCGTTATTCTTGTTGTTCTGAACTCTATCCATGAGGAAGAGATCAGCTTTTTTATGCAGAGCACTTTAGCACTGATTCACTTAACAGCTATTCTTTAAAAACAAAATTATCCATTTGTAATAGGATTAGAAAGTGAAACTTGTTTGATCTGTTGGTTTTCACAGGCAGTTTGTTACTGTAATATAAATTCTTCTCCGTTCATATCTGGGTCTGTACTGCAAAAGGCTCATTGTTGAAACCTGCTTATTTGGGGGAACAAGGTCTAATTCCCAGTGAACTCTGCTGTACTACAGTTATATGCTAGATCAAAGGTAGGCACATTTTTCAAGTGAGATCAGCCGCCGGGTGGACCCCCCTCCCTCAGCCAGCGAGACCAGCTGCTGGGGGAACCCCCCCCACCCCTCAGCCAATGGGAGGTCATCATCCCTACAAGTGCTGGTGACCTTGAGGACCATCCCTAGCTTCCACTGTGCCTGTACCTCTTTTTTTTTTTCTTTAAGAGGACTGCAACGTTCCTATTAAACCAAGAGGGCTTTCCAGCCCTCCTGCTACCTTTCCTCTTTGCAGGAACGGTGTTGTTTTGTGCTTCGAAGATCGTGTCCTTGAGCAACAACCACTCTTCATGCACCCCACTGGCCTTCCCTTCCTGGTCCTTCATCGCCTCCCCACCTAATGCTCTGAGCCTGTCAAAGTCAGCATTTTTTAAGTCCAGGGCTTCTATTCTGCTGGTTGATTTGTTGACCTTGCGGCAGACAGTGAACCTGTTAATTTCATGGCTGCTGTCACCCAGGTTACCCTCAGTGTTCAAGCCACACACCAGATTATCTCCCTTAGCCAAGACCAGGTCTAGGAGAGCGTTACCCCTGGTTGGTCCTTGCACTTCCTGGGTCAGAAGCAGCTCCTCAGTTGCCCCAATTTGCCCCCCCCGCAGGATAGTCTTGCTGGATCCAAGCACTTTGTAGGCTGGATCTGACCCCTGGGCCATTGGCTGCTGACTCCTACGTTAAACAGTATAGCACAGACCTGCCCATGTGGCCAGGCAGCACATGCTTTAGTATAAATCATTGCCTTAACATGCATTGAGCTTGAGAATTAGTCTGAGAATCAAGAAAGTTATGAAGAGCCAGTCCCACTAAAACTACCATATTTACTCAAAGCTAAGACAAAGTTTTTGCCTCCCAGTCAGCATGGGAAGAAACCCCTCATATTAAATTTGCATACAAAGTGGAAGGGTGGGGGTAGGTAGCTGCTGCATCTACTCTGGTCCTGAGCCCAGGACAGGGTCAGAACCAGACCCACAGCAGCCTCCTCCTCCCCATCCACTTGCTCTCTGCAGCTTCTTTCCCCCTTTACTATCAGGTGCAGCTCAGCACCAGCTTGGATTGGGTTCCCTCCTGGGCACAAAGCACATGGAAACTCTGTCTCCTGCCCAATGAATCAGCAGTGCCAACATTGCTGCATGGCCCCCTGCCCAACCAATCAGCAGTGCCAGGACTGCTGCATGGCTGGCAGAGGCTGAGCTTCCACATGCTGTGCTGCTCCAGGAGGGAAGAGAGCCTAAGCAGCATCTGACAGTAAAGGAAGCGAGGAGAAAGCAGCAGAGACCAGGGAATGGAGAAAGGGGCAGAAGGCTGCAAACTGTTGGGAGGAAAGAGGGCAAAGGGTCTATTTGACACTCCCTCCCCTCCAGCTTACCCTGCTGCAGCAGTTCAGGGGGAAGAAGTTAAGACAACCCTCTAATAATTAGATTCTATACCTGGAAAATTATAACAAATTTATAATTGTTCTATATATGGAACCTAATTATTGGGCGGTTGCCTTAAATTCAGGGTTGACTTACATTTGAGTAAATACTCAAAAACATAAATGTAAATAAATTGTAATAGCAAATTTAATAGTGAAATACAAATAAGATATAAATGACCCAACAGCACAGGTAATGCATATCAAGCAAATAAATTAAATATAGAAAGTGCACATTTAGCTAAATTCATAACAACCTTATTTATATTTGAAAGCAAATTAATCTTAAAAATTGTAAGTCTTAGGGTCTTAAAAAGCCTTTAGCAGGTAGCTAGCTTATTAAGGAAAAGGACTTCTCACCTAGGTTTCAAATTAAGTTTTAAACGGACTCTTATCTTAGTTTATCTGCAGCTGAGCTATTCAGCAAGAACTGTAGTTTAAGGCTGGAAAGCAAAGATTCCAAGATGAACCCAGAGTTTTATACTCTGTTGCTTGGCTAAAATATCAAAAAAGTTACTAAATAAAGTAAAAATATAAATGTTCATAATGGGCATTACTTTCATTAATATTCAAGTCCCTATTTTATTACATATCTAAGCTATATCTCGTCTAAAATTAGCCGTGTCTAGTATCAAACCACCAAATGTACCCTAACTTTTAGCACAACCTTTAACTTAGTTATTTTTCCAATCCATCTTTCTTGAATTTTCTAAAATGATTCGCACCTTGTGACATCCTCTGGTCATTTCCTTTGCATCTTATTCCCTTACATAAACTTTGGTCAATCAAATGTAAACAAATGCTCTACCAGACAGCCATTAAGCAACTCGAAGCCTATTATAGTCTGCACATGGCAAGGAATTTATTAAGAGTTTAACTGCTCCTTAATCCATGACCTAAAGGGAGCATGTCATTAGGAAGCTGTGTCACAGTGTACACAGTCAAGCAACAAAAGCCCTGGAAGGGCTGAAATGTTTCTTGCTGAAATGTATAAGGTGGCTAATTGATTCCAACCACCAAGAACACAGAAAGGTGACAGACCTGATCAGCAGTTTAGACAACAACCCCATTCATGCAATACTGAGTTAGGCATCCCCCACGAAAACAGGAAAGCGCAATGTTAACGACTGTCACTAATCTTACACAGGGAGGAATTCAAAGCAAAAACATTCAGGTAATCAACAGGTAACAGATATTAGGCAAATTGTGATGATGTACACAGCATTACTGAGTTGAACATCCACCTTCCTCAAATGCAGTTTCCCAACCAAGAAATAAAATATTCAGCAGG